ACTGTACTTAAGTACAGTAACGAAGTACTTGTACTTCGTTACTTCCCACCACTGGTGACCAACTACCTTCGAAACACGAAAATAACATTTATCTTTCTCTCTATTAGAACGGTTGGAACAACCGTACAGGACACAGATTTCAGACATTTTGATGCTGGATCAACAGAAATAAATGGCTTGAATTTACTTCCGGCCCTCCATCTGCATTGGGTGACGTCGGTGCTACGTCATCTGAAATCCAGCAATTAGTCAGGCCACTTTAAAATACTAATATGCAAAAGTAGGTAAGACTTTTGCGCAGTACACTCACAAAAGGCAGCTTGGGGTGAAGTATGATTTTACAACATGCCTCAAATGCCTTTTAAATAAGAAAGATAACTTTTATTACTATTTCCATTTTTTATTTACGTTACACCCTTTTAAATTGTTACGCATAACGGGGGTCCGTACTTTAAATAAATGAATAAATAAATAAATATATACAAATAAATATAAAACAAAAACCATATTGTAAGAAATTTCTGTGGTAGCCTACTCTTTTGTATTCAAGGAACACAGGCAGAGCAAGATGACAAATTAGCAATTTTAATTAGTAAGCGGTTTGTACAAAATATATATAGACAGTGCGGTTTGAGTTGGGGGGGGGGGGGAACTGCGTTTAATTGCAAAAACTCTTGAGAAGGTAACATGTTTGACATTAAATGAGTATTTTAGTGTTTTAGTCTTGCTGTGTTGAGGACTGTAGTAAATAATTTCAAATAAATCAATCTAGTAAATAAATAAATAAATAAATAAATAAATAAATAAATAAATAAATAAATAAATAAAATGTCTGGTAACGCTCATGTCAGCAGCGAGGGAGCGCATGTGCCTCATGCATCCACCCTGTCTGTCCCATTCTCCTCCTCCTCCTCCATTCTGCCTCGCCGCCGGTGTCAGTCTGACTCCCTCTATCTCGCACTTAACTCCCTCGACGGGATACCTCAAAGCACATGCGGAAGTTTCCACCCCGGACAGCTGCTGCTGCTGCTGCCGCCGCCGCAGCAGCTCAAATGAGCTTCTGACAGTTGATCAGTAGGAGGGGAAGCAGTAACAGCGAGGAGGTGGGCGAGGCGACACCGCCAGGAAACGCCACAGCCGGATCCGCTGGACTGGACGTCAGACCCGCGCATGGCTTCTCTCGGCAGCGCAGAGCGACGGGCTTTCGCTCTGAAGATCAACAGGTAAGGAAAAAAAAAAAAAAAAAATCCTTATGATTTGTTTTGATCCTTAGGGATGAAAAGAGTGAATGCAAAACTGCCGAGAAATAATGGGAGGGTGCAGTTTGTTCAACGCGGAGCAGGCAGCCACATGTTGTGAATAATAAAAGCTGCAGGTTGATTCACTCTGCCCCGGAAAAAGGCAGCCTGAAGGGCTATCAACTGTCCCAACTTCTCTCCAACTTTACTATGGAAGCCTTATTAAGACCTGTAATAACAGGCTTTGTAATATTTATAATGCTATCTTTCACAAGTTCACTCTTATTTAGATTTTTTTTTCTGTCCCAGATAATGGTATACATTTAGGAAGCAAATCTTGTGCTTTACATCTGTCCATGAGTGTCATTTCCTCTTCTTGACCATGCAGATTCTAATGTGATCATTTCCTGTGGTGAGTTAGCTCTGACAAGTCCAGAGAATTGGTATAAATGAGGGATGTGTGATCATAGTTCCTACTGTGAAGCTGACCAGGTGGGAAGGAAGTATGCATATGGAAGTCTATTGTGTCCTATTCCTTCTCTGTTTTTTACTTCTGTTATGATTAGACCTGCAGTGACTCAAAAGCGTGTGTGTTCTGTGTAATATTGCAGAAGTCTGACAGTGCACTGGAGTTCATTCACATTGTGAAAGTGGATATATAGAGGAGGGGTTATGTTTTCTTCGTATTGATTCCAAAGTATTTTCCTTTTCTCCCTTTTGGTTTGTTGCAGTGAAAGTAATAATTCTTTGCAGTAGTCGCAAATGAATGAGTTTGTCAGCGGTCCATGGGATCGCTTCTTTGTTTCCCCATGCGCAGTAATAATAGAGCTGCATTCTTGATTGAAATAGCCAGGAGAAATCGCGGTTCTCTGTTTTTGTGCTGCGCTGTGCAGAGCTGAGCTCAGCGGTTGGGAGATCAGAGAGAAGTTGGGCCAGAGCCTGAATGCAGTGATGAGCCAGCATCTGGGCTGCCTAGACCATGTGGTACTGTAGCATTGCAAGGTGTTTGAGCAGATTTATGTATATTGACTGTGTAGTTTCATTAAGCCTCACTGGACCATTTGAATGCAATAAAACTCTGCAGTTTGCACCGATTAGCAGATAAGAGATTTTTAGCTGTTGCAGTTTCTTAATGTTTTATGTTGCTTTAAATCAGGGTTCTGGTTGCTTTCTCTCAACAAAGATGTTCTTATTGCAGTTGTTCCATAGATTGTTATTTTATCTTAACCTGCTTTAAGTTTGTTCACGTCACCTCTAACTTATCTGCGGTGTTTTTTTTGAGATCTTCACGTAACAGCTGTACTTATTCTGATATTAACCACAGGTAGACTCACATTTACTATTTTGGTGACGTCTGGAGGCCGTTAGTTGCACCTTAAGGTTTTATTTAGGGGTGTCAGAGTAAGTGGGGGTAAGTGCGATATGCTAGTCAAGCATTTCTACATTTATTTGCTTAAAAAATATGTACCCGTTTCCTTTGCTGACTATGCACTGCGTACCTCTCACATAAAATCCCAATGAAATAAGCTATAGTGTAAAAATGTTTAAGGTGGAAGTATAATTTTCCTTTTTAGAGCACTGCAAATACCCCATGTCAGAACGAAAAACAAACTTTATAAGATAAGAGTTTAGCTGGTAAACTCTCATCAGTGAGCAAATCTGTAAAAATTAGATAGAGAAGAGTTGTCAGATAATGGAGAATTTATTTCTGCCAGGAATGCTTTCTAGAAAGTAGCCCCACATGTTTCCATGTTATCTCCTTGGAAATGCTATAGTGCAAACAAGCTTGAGGAAATATAACATGAGATAAGAAAACCTCTGATAAAGGCTGCACACTTGTATGTTAAACTATTCATGCATCTGCTCTGGCTTGAGCAAGTGCTGCTATTATTGGTGCTGTAATGCAATTTGATAACTAATCGGGAAGGCCAGGTGAGTCCTAGGATTCCCCTCTAGACCCAGTGGAGGTGGTGAAGGGTAAAGAATAGGAACTCCCTCCTGGACAACCTCTCCCACTTGTTGCATGTTACAGCACTGGAGAGCTCCTTTAGTAACAGGCTTCTGCATCTTAAACGGACATAAGAGCATTATAGTGGGTCTTTCCTCCCTGCAGCTGTTTCTCACTCAATAAGCTGTTTACATTTCTGCTCTTCTTACTCAGGTTTCAATGATCAACAATTGGACAACACATTTTGTATTTTTTTTTATTTTATTTTATCCAAATCATCTTAAAATCTTTCTTAAAATCTACATCTTCTACATTTGCTATTTATTTAGAATTTTAGTTATCTTTTGTTTGATATTACTATACAGTTTCTATTTTATTTGTTTATTGCTGCGGTTACAGTTTCCCACAAAGGGACAGCTAAAGGATTCTATTCTATTCTATTCTATTCTATTCTATTCTATTCTATTCTATTCTATTCTATCAGAGTGATTCATTTCCCATGAATCAGACACTCATCCATGGCCATGTCACAGGAAAACAGTGACTCTGACTAGTGCAGCGCCACTTCCTTGTGGATTTTGTTTTACTGTTTTAAGGTAAACCTAATGTTTACAAACTACTAAGGTGGATAAAAATAAAACAAGATACAGTGTATGATTTGTAAAATGTTATTACAACAAAAAATATTTTCTTCTGTTTGACTGTCAATGCTCTCACATTGTATAAGGACACTTTTGGCTTGCTCTTTGTTACGTTATGTTGGTTCATTGTGGTTTTCTGGTTTAGCCCCGCCACAGCATTTCATTCAGTTTGTTGTTGTGTTGATGACCCACTTTTAGCCAAGAATTAGTTGTCAGACAGACAGTCTTTTTATGTTAAGCATTGCATTTAGACATCACATCACAAGTCCGATTTCAGGATGAATTTGCTACTTGGTAACTGCTATACATTTTTACCACTTATAAATAATCTTTTCTCATTTTAGATCAGATTTAGACTTTCTGGAAATTGTCTTATAGCTGTCCCCCGATTATCTGGCAGCATGTTGGTCAGAAGTTGGCATACTTTTCCTTAGTTTCTTCTAGATTTATCTTTGAACTCTATTGCTTGGGTCCAACATTTTGGATATCCTTCCACAAGTTTCTCACAAGTTTGCTGCAGTTGTGTCATTTCTTATGACTGAACTTGTGCAAGTGAGTCAGTTTTGTTAGCCACCGCACTCACACACTCGTTCAATCAGCAACACCCAGAACATTTCTGGGTGTTGCTGATTATTACTTTGTGACGGCAGCTTCAACACCTTTGTTTCCTTAGACCTCTTTGTAATTAATTTGGTTGTGTGTTTAGCACAGTTGTTTATTTTGAAGAGCTCTTTTTCCCCTAATCTTGTCTTGAAATGTCGTGTCAATATTTTCTTACAATGATGATGCCATCTGTTTTGTGAGGTGCACCAGTCCTTCCTGCAGGAAAACACACCTACAGCATGATGTTGTCCCTTTCGTACCTGACAGTTGGGAAGGTGTTCCAAGTCATGCAAGTTCCCCCTTTTCCTCTCCAAATGTTACAAAGATTATCAAACACTTCAAATTCAGTTTATTTTAAATTTAGTTTATCAGCCCACAGGACATGCTTCCACATGTAGTGTTTTTGTCCCCGAGTTCAACTGTAAACTGTAATCTGATTTTTCTTTTATGTTGCTTTGGGAGTAGTGATCCCACTGAGGGGCCTTTTTAGAAGTTGAAGTTGATGAACGAAGTAAACATATCTCATTGATTTAATTTTAAGCTTTGGGTGCATTGGTCAAATAGCTGATAAATACAGCAATAAACCAAAGGGAACTTGGAAAGTAAGCCATTCAGTCACAAAGAGGAACAGCAGACACAAGTTGAAACTCTAGTATTAGAGTAAGATGAAAATATCTTTTTCTTATCATTTACACTGATACACATTTGTAGACATGGTTGCATTGTGCTTATCAGGCTGAAACAATCTTTTGTTTATACACCCCATAAAATATTGTATAGTGTCAGGAGCACCTCCTTGCCTCCACATCTTTCTGTCAGCTAGGCGTGTGCGAAGGAAATCCTGCAAACTGAGAACACACCATCACTCACTGGTATCACTTCACTTTTCAGTGTTAGGACAGGAAATGCGTTTCTTGATATAGGCGCCGAAAAAAAGGGGAATGGAGAAGAAGTTTGCCTGTTAACAAATGCAAGACATTCATCATACAAGAGATGCCTGCTGAGTTTAGCTGGGAAAAGTAGTAAATATTTAATAATCTCTCATTTGAACTTGATGTGATTTAAGAGCGTATGGTAACAGGTGTGAGGACAGCTGTGGGCATGCAGCCTCTATTGTTCAATACTTCTAAGTGGAGAGGGGGGCTCTGGATTGTGTTTCATCTGATTTCCTATGGGTTTTCGGCATATGTCATCTGTTGACCACCGGGTCTGTTGGTGGGCCGCCCTGGTACTGCTCAGTAAAAGACAACGCCTTCAAATCCAAGAGACTTTAAGCAAATTCTGCCTTTGTTTTTAATGAAAGTCTCCTTTGGACCCTGGTTTTCACTTGAAGCCTCCAGCGACACAATTCTTGCAAATGATGGCTATGTTAGTGTGTGCCTTCCTTCGAGAGGAAGTTGAGTTGTGATGCTACTGATAGCAGTAAGACCCATTAAGTTTGGAGACGTATGATAGGATGAGACGGGCAGAGGGGGCCATCTATGTGGTCCTCTCACTTTTCTTGTGTATGCCACTCTGCTTTTCTTGATCTCTTGTCTTTTCTTCTTGGCTTAGATTAAAAGAGAGAAGTTTGATTCTAAGGAGAAGGATTTTAAGGTTTAGGGAAACACTCCTCTCGTAGACAAACGAATAGGAGACGGTTTTCAGAACAAATTCCCTCAGGAACTGACTCGTTAGGAGTAAAACCAATAGTTTTGTTACATGTTTACATTGATCTAAGACATTATCAGTTATATTTTAGGAATTCACCAGCAAATAATAATAGAAGTCTTCCCCCAAACTGTTAATCTTTTTAGATTAAGGCTACAGTGCATAAAGTTTAGAGGACATTAATTTCTCTCACTTCAGTTCTGTTTGAAAGATAACTGAATGGAAAAAATTTAAAATGATATAAAAGTCTTTGCGTTTTTTAAATAATATTATATTATGCAAATTGAATAAATATAAACAAAACCTAAAATTTATTAAACAAACAAACAAAATGATTATTCAAACAATGGAAAGAAGTACAATCATTCAGCCACTTTTATATCGTCTTTAGAGCAGAATTATTGTAATTTCTTTCTTGGTTTGTTTTATAGATAATTGGACGCGAGTAGCAAATTGATGGATGAATAAAACTCTCTCTTTGATAAAAAAGCTAAGTTATTTTTAAAATGTAAAAATAAAATAAATAATAAAGGACCAGCTTCTTGAAAGTTTCACGCCTGAGGAATAAAAGTCACCATATAATTGCTTTAAAATAAATCTTTATAGTCATGCAATGAGCAAATGAAGTACATATACAAAAATACAAATATATTAAAAACTAAAATAATAAACCATTAACTGGATACAATGAAACAATTCCAACACTTTTATTATGTTACATTTTTAAGAAGTATCTGTGCACCATTAAATGTTTCTGATTTCTTGTAGAAAATATTTTCTTGTATTTGGAGCAGATATCATATTGGCATTCCATTTCTGCTGGAGATTGTAGGGGCCAGTTTCGAGTTTAGCATTGTAGGTTAGTTTCTATGTATGACCTTAACAGATTAGAAGTATCTTTTATTGTCCAGGAGTGGGGAAATTCAGATGTCACAGCAGCAAGTTAAAGTAAGTTGGAACACATATATGTTAAGGCAAAAAACCCCAAAAACAACAACAAACAAAAACTGTGCATCAAGAACAAATTTACAACAGAAGAAAAAAATATTCTGTACACTGATTAAAATAACATACTCAGATAGCAGCAATAACATTTTGAGTTTGTTTGGAACAGTCATGGTAATAAAATCATACAGATGCTTGAAGGCAGGACCTGCAATAAAGCACTTGTGTGCACCTAGGATGCAGCAGTCTGTCACTGAAGGAGCTTTCGAGTTCAACAACAGCTGAAACAGCAACAGATGGGCAAGTGGACAAATGTTAAACTCACAATTTAAAGAAATGCGTCTTTTAGCATTGTGTAAAATAGAAGGTTTAAGTCATTATCCCAAGGAGGTTTACCTTTTTTAATGTGTGTGTGACTAAGAAGCCTGAGAGTGGTTTAAGAAGTATGTTAAATGTCTCTGAGTTCAGTGCCTCAGGGAAAATGAAAATGTTAATTCAAAATCATATCTGACTTACAAGTACCTAAATATTGTGGCAGTAGGATGAAGTGGTATGTAGAGAAAAAAAAACATACTTTAAAGCACCACATTTTCAACTTATAAACATTTTATAAAACAAAAGCCCCAAACAAGCAGTGATGGTTCACATTCAGCTTGAAGAAGAGGTTTGGGAATGGTGCCAGAAACGCTGACAGGAGCCCACCACGCTCTCAAACAGCAAGTGTAGGCCTGCCATGTGTGACATAACAAAAAGCTCCCAGCTTGTTTCTACGCAGATGCATAGTAGATGATTTTAGGCTCACAGCATATGCTGAGATGAGGTTTCATGGAAAATTTCCTGACACATTTTGGAAATCTTAACACTTTGACGATGGATGATCATTTTAGGAATTTGTCCTCCAGGGACAGTCTCATGCTGTCATCATCGCAGCGTTGGATTTCACAAGCGGGTTCTTAAAATCTTAAAGCTTAATAGTTTGAAGTTTATCTAAACTAGGGAGAGGTGAAGGATATGGTCTACATGCCATAAATATTTCACATGAAAGCTGTGCATAGATTGAAATTATTGTTAAAAATGCTCTGCTTTGCTATTGCACATGCCCGGTATATTGCCACGAGGCTCTCGCATGGTCTGAATTTTTTTTTTTTTTTGAAAGAATGGGAAAATAAAGTATCTTTCAGGTCTGATTATTTATTCAGAACAAAAATGGAGGATAAAAATATCAGCATTATCAGACATCGTTCCTTGTCCAGTTCTCTAAAGAGCCATCTGTCTGTTTGAAAAAATGAGCTTGTATGTCTTATTGTCCTGAAAAACAACATTGAGATTGGCCAGAATTAGCAAGTCAGACCTCATAATCAATATTGGTCAGGAAAAGGCTGATTGCTATTGACTATAACTGAGTCCACTGTATACAGAGTGGTGAGTGCTGGAGCAAGGTAGTGATTTCAGATATCAGAGACAGGTACTCCAGTCTGAGACTTGGAGGATGCATTGGCCCCACAAGATGCCACCATGGGCGGTTGCCCATGTCGCACATATCAGAAACCCACTGCCATAAAAGACTGTAGTTTATTTGTGAATTCCTTTATTGTGACTTTTATGTTTAGTGCATTACATTTCTGATGACAATATTGATAAATATGGTAAAAAATTACATACAATACAAACATGTAATGCAAAATTTTGAAATTGTGACATCCCTGTTATTATTGAATAATTATTGCAGAGATTAAATACATACCCTGTAGAAATGAGGATTTCATCCAATAAGACGGAAATCTAAGACTTGACTTGTGAACATGACCAATTCACATATTTTCAATTTAATTATCTAGAGTGTCTGATTTGTTGAAAGATTCATGTTTTTATTACTTTCTTTTTAAGTTCAAATGACATCATGTCATTGAAAGAACAGTCACGAAGTGTGCATGTTAGAGAGTGCCACTTTGACTATTTTCAGAGATTTGCAGTAAGGCAGAGATTTTGTGTTTTGATGAGGTTTAACATCCCAGGAGCAGCAGCTTTTTTAGACCAAAGTGGTTACACTTTTTTTTCCTTTTCTTTTGGCAGTGGGGTTTTGACCTCATTCATAGATCTCATGGACTTCTTGTCCTGTCATCCAAAAGCTCCAGATGTACTTCTGATTGTCAAATACTCCTTCACTTGAAGTCTTGACTCTGGGTTTGGGTCCCCCCAAAAACTCTTTTTTTTTTTTTTTTTTTTTTTTTCCCCAGAAGTTTCGATGCAAGCTGCTTTTGGTAAGATGACAAAATCCAAAGCTTTTGTTTTTATCCTCTTGACTGGAGCTTAGCTTTTATGTGACAAAAGATGCCCAGGGAGAGGCCCGCTGAAGAGAGAGACAGCTGTTGCCTGCTGTCACAATCTGTTTGCTTACCAGTGGTAAAATAATGTCAGCTTGGTTCTACTGGCAAGAGCTGATTACAGTTTTCATTCCCTGGTCTTTTTATAGATAGGCCCCTGATGTCAGTCATTGTTTGTGACCTAACAATCTCCCTTGTGCATGCCTGCAAGATTTTGTGCCTACAAATTAGACATTTTGTACATGACTTGTATTAAATTGTAGGTTGAATCATTTTGGTCTTTGTAGGACTGATGAAACATGCAGAAAGGAATTAATGCCAGTGTTGTTAGGATATTACTTTGCACTAAGGATGTCTTCTTGGGGAGTCATGTTATAAACTGTCTTTCAGATTTTTAGTTGTCATTTAGAAAAACTCAACTTAAGCAACAAAGAATAAACCATTATTTAAAAAATGCTGTTTTTGTTTCAAAGTTTTTATGTTAACAGGATAAACTAGAAAAAATAACAGATCTAAAAGTATACATTTTCATATTGATCTGGTAAATTATACAAGCAGCAGATTTATAATTCAAAGACAAGTCATTTTGACTAAATACAAGGAAGGCCTATAAAAAATATTCACCTCCCTGAATGTTTCACCCTTTTTATTGATTTTTGCAAATCAACCACAATCAACAGAATTTGGCATTTGCAACAAAATCATTTACAAAATAACTATGAATATTTGACACAAAAATAACTGATTGCATCACTTACCGTCTTCAAAATGACTGACCTAATTCAACAGAGGTCCAACCAATTAGAGCTAGTGGTTTCACAAGGGGTAGAATGGAGATTTTCTGAATGCAGTGATTGTTGTCCAAAGACATCTGTGTCTGGGAGGTCTATGCACTGGTTAATCAGTATTTCTGGCTGTGATTACAGTATGAAGACATCAGAACACTCCAAGGAGATCAGAGAAAAAGTTATTGAAAGTATCACTCAGGAGATGGGTACAAAAAAATTCTAAGGTACTGAGCATCCTATGAAGTTCAGTTAAGTCATCAAGAAATGGAAGGAATGTGGTTAATGTGTAAATCTGCTTAGATCAGGGAATGGATACTTCTTATAAACACTGTATGAGTCTTGTAGGGCACAAACCACAAATAACTTGAACCTTTCTTAAATTTTAGTTTTCTTATTAGATATTCAATTCTCTTAAACGTTAGCGCATATTTTGACACTACAACCACACACCTCGGGGTATTTTACTTGTAATTTCTGTAATAGACCAACAAGGTGTGTACATACTTTTGTAAGGTTGTGGCATTCCTCTCAGAAATCAGAAGCATAAAAAGTATACGGTGAGCTTGAAGAGCATAATAAGTTCCTGACACAATCATTAGCTGGTCTGCTTTGGTGCAAGGTGCAAACATGCTGCTTCAATAAACCAGTTAAGTGACCAACAGCACTGTGTTTGCAGAGTCAGGTTGTAAGACTGTGTGCGCGCACTGTTGTTGTGGTGGGTTCTGACGATTTCAAAGCAACTTTTGCATTCGTACAAGCTGCAGAGCTTCATCGTTTGGCCTTGTAATTGCAATGCACCGAAGGATTCTTGTGGAAACAGAATGTGTGTGTATGTGCTGTTTTTTGTCCATGGTAATAATATCTTTATGATCTCATTTTATTTCTTGAGCTCACCCCGTAGAACTGTTTTAATCTTAGTTTGCAGTGGTGTTTTGCTAATCGTTGTCTTTAATCTTTTTATTCAACCATTTTATTTCAGTGGCAGTATGGCTATGTGTTTGAATAAATACCACTGGCCTGCTGGACTTTGCTCTTTGTGTAGATTTGTTTGCACACCACCCATGCCTTGACCTTTTCTGTACTAACTCAGCTCGTAATGTGATTTATAGGGACAGTGGAACAGGAATTGAACACCTTGATATAAGCAATATTGGATCTTATATAATATTAACTGTGTTTACATGCGAACGAAGCTGAATGAAGCTGTCTTTCTGATCTGCACATAATGTGTTTTACTACAGCTTCATAGATTTTAGTGTCCTGACACTCTCTCCTAACATTTTGTTGTTTGTGGTTTGTGGAGATAATTAGTAACAGTTATGTTGCAACAGGCTTAACAAACTCATGAGACTGACCACAGGGGAAGCAGCCAGCAGCGTGACCCATTTGCTCAAGTATTTTGCCCTTTAAATATTTGCTGTGTGGATGTATCACAGTAAAGCACTTCTGACATTTGAACATGCTAACACAGGCACTGATCAAACCTTTGTTAATATGCAGACAACATATATATTTTTTAATTAGATGAAACAAGTAAAGGATTTTTTGTGGAAGGTTTGGTCAATCTCCCATGGCATGGTAGATTAATTATGAAAAAATAGACGATGAACCCACTCTGAGGATATGGAATGTGAGGAACAAACTGGGGCACTGTCTCCCAGTTCTTGTTCTCCCTTCCTTTTATAGGGGTAGCTCTTGGAAAGCACAGACAAACACTGTCTACCCAACATTTCTGAATACTCCTTTATCCGTCTGTCATGTTGATTTCCTGCTTGGTTTGACCCTTGAATCAGAACGCCATCATTTAATCCAAAGCTGGTTTATTTTCAACTTGACAAAGCATGTCAATGTCAATGGAAATCTGCTAGTGGAAGCAAAAGCATAGATAATCCAACTCAGAAATTAATGGAACACAATGTGTTTTAGACCAAAATTGGATCTAATATTATTTAAAGATATATTCTTTCTGAAGGAAGTGGATGAAGTTTTCAGATTTTTTTTTTGTAAAGTCTGAATCTGTATCAAATCAGAAATGCACTAATGTAAGATTTTGTCTTTTAAACAATGATATTATTTTTTTTAATCTGTGATCGATTTTTGACCAGCTCCAGTTTTCTTGTAAGAATGACAACAGCTGAATATTTGTTTTAGTAAACTCTCGTAATAAAAGTCTAAAGTAAAATGAAACAACAATTTCTCCCAAAACAGAGTTTGTTGCCTTGTATGACTTATTTTCAAACATTCCACAGATGAGGAAAGTCTTCACTCAGTGTCAACTTCCAAACCAGGGAGTGTTGTTGTCAATGCAACCTAGAGTATTTGCATATGGTGTGTTGGCTGAAAAGAAGCTAATTTCTTGTTATATCTATAGCTCAGATAAATTATGCTAATTTCCTTTTTTGTGCCTTACAATCATAAGGCAGAAAGGCCTTATAAATATCTGTTTCTTATTTGCATTCCAGGCACACTTCTGCAGAGGTTAGACGGAACTTCATTGGGAACTATGGCTTATATCACAGTCGGTCCAACTCCAGCTCGTCTCCCACTGCCTACGTCAATGTGGTGAGTTTCGTTCTGTAGGAAAATAATACATTAGTGTTTGAGTTCAAACCTGTTTATTCTCCTCATATCCCACATCATCATCTTAAAGTATGCCTTTAAAATATTCAACTAATTCTGAGGTAGCATAACTGCATGCAAGGAAATGAAATATTTTTTTTTCACTGATGTTTTTTATTGCTTTTCTTGCTATTTAATATGAACTTTAAGGATCATCACACTAAAACATTGTAAATGTTTCATGCCAATAATCTGTTGTAATATTGTTATGGTTTGCAGAATTTTTTGCCCCTAATGCAGCACTCTAACAGCTTTAGTGTTTGTAAGCGTATCATCCTCACATCCTCTTTACTGTCATTAGCCTGGAGAAAGACTGACTCAGTGCAGAGTCTAGTCTTGGAGATTATACTTTAAGTCCCAAAAAATCTGCAACAAAACAAGAAAATGCCTTAGCAAAGACGACTGTTTGAATCATCACAGTGGATGGGGATAAGCAGGCCTGTCGAGTAAACATGCAAAATAATTAAAAAGTAAAATTATTTTGCTAATTCAATTTGAAATACACAACTCGCATATTAAAAGGACTCCTCATAAATAGTGACATGTTTCAACTGTTTACTATTGTTCATTCACATTTTTATGACTTAAAGTTAATGATTACACAATATCTTGTTGTTTAACAAAATCAATTTTTAATTATATTTAATGATGCAATATTGTCTGTTGTTCAGAAGATGGCAAATAAAATCATTCAGAAGGAAAAAAAGACATCTTTCCTGATGGAGCTAGTAGATCAGAACGCTTTCCAAACATTTTAATAGAATGTTGGATGGAAGAACAGCTTTGGTAGAAAACAATGCACACGTGTCTGCAGTCTTTAGTAGGTTGAGAAGTAAAAAAAGACCATTTTAAGAGTTCAGAAGAGATTCACAAAGTGTGGACTGGACCGGAGTCAGCGAGCTCCACCACATACACATCTATCTAATTCATGCTCTACAATCACAGGTGTCAAACTCCAGTCCTGGAGGGCCACTGCCCTGCAACTTTTAGATGTGCCTCTGCTGCACCACACCTGAATAGAATAATTAGGTCATTAGCAGGCCTCACACAAGAAGGAGGTAATTAAGCCATTTCATTCCAGCGTTTTGTACCTGTGGCACATCTAAAAACTGCAGGACAGCAGAGGACTGCAGTATGACCCCCCTGCTGTTGTTCTGCTCCTTGTGTTAAGTCACTCCTGAAGCAAAGATGTTAGAAGTTTCTCATCTGGTCTCAAGAGAAGAAGGAACAGACTGTTTCTGAGTTATCCAAAGTTCATTGCTTTTTTAGATGAGGGTACATTTTGCTCTTATCTTTGGGAGCTACATTTCTGAGAGGGACAGACAGTTTTTGCAATCCATGATGGGCAAGGGAGGTAGGTCATCTGCTAGTGTTGGTCCACTTTGTCTTCTTAAGTCCAAATAAAGCACAGACATCTATCAGAAAGTTTCATGTTTCTCTCTGCTGGCAAGCTATATGTGAATGCTGATTTTCACATTTTCCAACAGGACTTGACACCTACCCATTTTGCCAAAAGTACCAATGCCTCCTTAAATGAGGTATTAATTGAACAGCAAATTTGTCTGACCTAAAATGCAATAACAATCTATGCCATAGACTATATGGCATAGGCGTAACCTCCATTACACCTTAGGAGAGCCACAGGCTAATCACCTCCATGCCACACTGCATTAATGCATTAATTAATGTAAAAGGAGCCCCAACTAGTATTGAGTCAATGCCCTTTATTTCTGTATGCAAGATCCTTTATTTTTTGGTATTATGTATTTTTGGTATTATGAATTGTTTGCTCAGAAACTGAATTTTTTTTTTTATCAGCTCTAAACCATCATTATTCAAAATAATTGAAATTAATTCTTTAGGATGCATCACACAGCATAAAAAATCTACACAAGTTTTATTTTTTAAACTGAATTTCTGAAATGCATAATCTTTTTCATATTATTGTAATTCAGTGAGATGTACCTTGATAACAATACATGTTTCCTAAACATGGTTTGGAAAACTCTGGATTTCTTTCTACATAGGAGTGAATGGCACCGTTGCAGGTTGGAGCATAGCAGGTTGTTATCACAGCTCTTCTGAGCAAATAAACAGAATGATGCAGTCTAATCCTGTGCAGGGATTGGTTCCCACACTACGCTTCAAGATTTCCTGTGGCACCCTTTGAGTCCCTGTCTCTGCCTTCCAGTGTTTTATCTTCCACTTCCTTCTTCTTTGTTTTTTTTTTTTTTTTTTTTTTTCCTGGCTTTTCTCTGTCATTTCATCCTACTCTGCTGCTCTACATTTTTGTCACTCAAAAGTTTACCAAAGCTCTTAAGTGCTAAGTCTCCTGACATATCTGTAGCGTGACTTAGCTGAAACCCTGTTATACTTCCCTGGGTTTGATCCTTGAGCTTCTCAGCTGACGTGGTTTCGGTTGCACTACTTAGACCCTTCACCCCACTCTTCCACCTCCACCTGCTGGCATCCAAGACTGTTAATCTGTAACCTGCTTGAGTCGGGGAAATGGGTCAGCGCCTAGGCTGCCGACTGGCACTGGATGGGGCTGTTTACCTTTCAGCTTATGAGGGGGAGCGAATGTTTAATATGTCTGGATTTGGCATGCAGGGAGAGAGGTTTTAATGCCATAATCTCTGGGACGGTGGTTTTCTTGTTATTCAGCAGTGAGAGCTCAGGGATGAGTGAGGGATATTCACTGTGGCAGTTGTGCTTGGAAATGTGTGTGTTGCCGGTTGAGTGTTATTTTAGTTTTGCTGCAAAAACGAAGAGATTAAACAAAAAGCTTTGCATGATATTGTGTGCTGCTAATGTTTGCCCCTGTGCAATCTGTTCCTGTGTTGAAACACTGGTTGAAAATGGGAGCGCTTCAGTGATGTCACTTCCTACAAAGCGTTGGTGGTTTTTAAGCATGTTCAAAGTTTGTAGTCTGAATTTAAGATAATAGAAAGCAGATGGTGCCATCTTTTGCTCCAACTGGTCCTGATGTTGGATGTTTCCCTCCACAATCCTCTGTAGTTTTCATCTTCTATGAATAAGAGGATGAATGTAAAGAGGATCTGTTTGCTAGCTTGTGGTTTGGTTTCAGAAAAGAGCAATCAGCGTCAGTAGAAACGAACAGTAGTACAGGTTCCCATATCCGGGCTACGCCATTTTGTACACTTCCTCTTTAAAGTGGCACTTTTCAGTTGTGAGCAGGGTAAGTCTAACATATCTGTTTGAGCCGTGCAGGTACTAACAGAGACTTTAAAGCTATGCTAAAACGCTCATATGTCTGTGGCGAGGTTAAATTAAGTTCTACATTTTAAAAATGCTGCTTGTCTACGGTTTCTGTTTGCAGTCTCATCTGGCTTGATGGGGTGGATTTCAAATAGCAAAGTGTTGGAAGATTTATCAGTTTCTTGAATAATCATATCTGATGTGTACTGAAAATGTTTAAATCAGAGAATTCATCATGTTGAATCTTGGAGCATTTTTTCTCTTTTATCCTAATAATGAAGCACATGAAAGGTTGCAGTTTGTATCATCTGGCCGATCTGCTTTAAGAAGTAGATTTTGCAGAAATATGATCATCATCATTGAGAGCTGATTGAATACTTAAGGAGTTTTCCTTTCTCCCTTGTGTTAACTCTGCAGAGCACCATTCACAGATTACAAGCATGCATGCATTAGCATTCATAATTTTTTTTTTGGCGGGGGGAGGGGGGGAGTTCATGCTCTGCACTAAAATAGAGAGAAGCTATGCCGTGATGATTGTTCTAGCTCTGAGTAAGACTGCCTCATTTGGAATCTTGTTGAGGCACACACCATCCCTGTAGAATCGAGGCGCTTCACCTGTGTACACAGCATTATGCCGCGTAGCTCTTTTTTCAAAATTGCTACTATTTTGTAGCTTGCTTGCACAGCTGCTCGTGTCATTAGTTTTGCAGAGAAATGCGCTTCAGGGTGTGCGGATGTGCAAAAACATGTCTGCAGGCAGACAGAATTTGCTCTGCCCGTAAGAGTTGCGTAGAACAATGACTCGTGCTGTTGCTGCAGATTTCCCCACCTCTCCTCTGTGCACATACTGCTCATGAGTGCGTGCATGACATTTGCTATAGTACCTCTGTACTTTTATTTTCCTCTTCTTTTTTCACCTCCCCTACACATAGTTTTAAAAATACTTTTCTAAACCCTTGTAGGAGCATAAGCATGATTAAAAGCTTAGGTGTTTTTGTTTTTTTGTAAGCTGTTCTAAATATTTATATGCAAGAAGATGCTATTTGTCTTTTTTGCATTTGTGCATTGCCTTTGTAAGCTATTTTTAATATTTCAGAAGGAGACTGTTGTGTTTCTGTAAGCTGTCTGTTTCTGCACCTTGTTTTCTGTTTCTTTCCTGGATGTTCCTCTTTTTACCAGCTTAACCAGCTTAACCTGACTACTTTCTTTCCTAATCAGTTGGACATTTTGCTACCAGTTGCCTTGCAAAAAAGGCTCACATAACCATTGATCTTGGGGATTTGTTAAAGTGTGTATTGAAGTGACTATATTAACTATGTGCAGAACTGCCTTTATCCCCGTATGTTGAGATAATTATAGATTTCCTTTTGATCTACCTGACAGGAGAGTGGGGTTTTAGAGTTTCTGTCTAAAAATAGGTTCACTAAGAGCAGAAAAGGCCCAGCTGTCTAAAACAAGCCAGGTTTGTTCCAGTTACTATTTATGTCTGTTTGTGTGTCTTTTGTTCCTAGACAGGTATGAGCTATTAGAAAATAGTCATGATTCAACATGTTTGGTCCTACCCCCCTTTTTTTTTTTTCCTAAAAAAAAAATCTGCACTGTTTACAGAGAATTACACAAGTATACATGCTAGCTGAACTTTTTCCACATATTCTCAGATTACTACCATCAACTCCAGTGTATTTTATTGGCAGTTTACACAATAGACCAACGTAAAGTAATGAATAACTATGAAGTAGGAGGAAAATGAGCCATGGTTTCTCTTTTTACTAATAAAAATATAAAAAATGTGATGTGTACACCAGACTAGCTTTATTGATGCATTTTATATCCACCTTTTTAATCCTCCAGATATTTTGGGGTTTGTCTCTACTTCCTTTGCAACATTTTTCACCCATTCACCCAGTTGTGCTTATTCTTTGCAACAGATATTCCCCACCTGAGCTGTGAATATCTGCAGCTTCTCCAGAGTTACAGTGGTCCTCTTGCCTGCTTTTCTGATTAACTTTTTTCCCCGTCTAGATTCGACGAAATTCTGTGGCCCTAATATTTTCTTGCTTTCATGTTGTTGAATGTTGCCATGGTGATCCCACGTCTCACTTTAGGCTCACTCAGATCAGTATCATGTGAGGGTGTGAAAGTTAGCTACAGTTGCATCCAAATGGACAGGGGTATTTATTTTGACATCAAGTTGCACGCAGCAGACTCTCGTCTGCCACCTTCCGAAAGTAAATTTGTGCGACTGTTTAGTTTCATTTCAAAGTAAAGATGCCGTAATATATTTGCAAGCTGCACTTTTCAGATTTATGAAGAATTCTGAAGGTATTATTTTCTTTCATCTTCACAGTTGGTCCACTGCATTACTTCCATCTAAAATATATTGGAAGTTGTGCTTATAATATGACGAAAGTCCTGCACAAACTCATTAGCCAAAATATTAATTTATTTGCATTACCTAGGGTGCTTATACTTGTAATCCTTTAAAGAAATCACATATAATCATTTTTTAGTAAATAATTCATTTCTCTGGAGATGCAAAGCTTTAGTGCTTACTTGATTATATTTGCTGCTGAAATGCCTTAAGATTCCTTTAGTCTCCTTCCATCAGAAAACTTAACTTTCATATCTATGACCTCTGGGTTTCTCAGCCTCCGGCGTATGACGCAGTGGAGCCATTGGACCTGGAGGAGTTCCTGATGTCACAGTTAAGAAGTGAAGACTCAGATCTGATGCATGAATTTGGAGACTTCCCTGACGATGACCTGAAGGTGGAGCAGGTGGAGAAGGAGCGACGTACCATCCGGCACTCTGTCCCAGAGGACGGGTGAGTTACGAGCCAGAAATCATCAAAGAGAGGAATATTTATATAATGTCCACACAATTTCACAATCACTTAGAGAAAGACTTTAAGACACAAGGCTTTTATTGGAATGTTTTCTTTCATTTCTCAAACTATTTTGTCATTTTATCTTGCTAAACATATGTGTCTTGCACCTTGACCATGACTCTCAGATAAGCTGAGACGTAGAATTAATGGTTTTCAGATGTCTTTGAATGTCTGCTTGCATATTTGCGTGTCTACATATTTTTTTTCCCCCTGTTCTCATTCCTTTCCTTTCAGAGGCGACTTAGATCCACATGTGAGAGATTGCGTGAAGAGTTACACCCAGCCATGGCTGGTTGTTTCCAGAAGGTAAACTCTCCAACTTTGTTTCAGTCCAGTGATCTCCATGTTTCCCCGAATGACAAACACCAGCGTTCTGTACATCGCATGTTAATCCTTGTTGTTGTCTGTGTTTGTGCATGTAAAGGTGCCAGGGGGATGGCTGGAGTGCATATTCAGAGCGAGTCGGCCTGCATAAAGTCCTGCATAAGCAAATCTTTGAGTCTGATTTTCAACCAGAAAACAAAGACAAACCAGTAAGAAGCCTACTTACTTACAGCACTCCTTGTATAGCATTTTAATTCCAGCCTCTTTTGAATAGTTTAAGCACCAAATAGTTTGTTAATCAAACTAATGTGAAAGACACTAATATCTGGCTGAATAACCTAGGTTTATGGAAGGTTTTCGGCCTTTATTCTCTTTTCAACGATGAACAAAGTTTGCGCAGAGAGGCTCAATGCAAATGCAAATGTAATATTCCGGACATCATAGCATCTGTTTTATCACATGACCACCTAGCATGTAAATATATTTGCATGCTGGCCATTGAAAATAGCTGACAGTCAGGTAGACATGAATCACCTCTGCATTCAGCTGATGTGATAATGCCGACTTCGTATAATCTTTTTCATCTGTGCATGATTAGATGTCTCATTTGGTATTTCAAGTAGCTATTGACCCTTCAGAAAGATGCCAATCTCTGCACACTATGCTCCTCGGAGTTCACTCAGCGGGCCACAATTGTTGCTGTTCACTTTCACTGTGCACTTGCAGTTGACTCTGGACTATTTAGTAACAAGTGAACTTTACAACTGGACTTATACAGGTGGCATCCTCTCACAATAACAAATTTGAATTCCCTGAGCTCCTGAGGATAACCCAGTCTATCACAAATGTTTGCAGAAGCAGTATGCATGCTAAAGTGCTTGTTGTTGCACTTATGGAAGCTAAACTTCCCTTGTGCTTTCAGTTAGTACACACAGTTGAGCTGACCTCTCAAAATCCAGCTTGCTCCCATGTACATGTATATGGATAAATTAACATTTGTCCACTTTCCTCGTAGTCGGACTGTTTTTTTTTTTTAAAGGAGCTGCAGGAAAAGCGTGGTCTCTTCATTTAAAGTGTCTTTTGTTGAAGACGCTTCACTAAGAGCAGTATGGCAGTCCATACTGATGAAGGCCTGAGAAGCATGAATGTGAAAAGCAAGGGGGTGGGTTCTTTAATACCGAACACAACAGCGTGTTGTTATTCTTATCACTCCCTCCACTGTGAGAATGGCTCTTTCAAGTTTAGTCGGCCTCGTTTGCGCAGAAATAAAACGTGCTATTTGCCCAATTTGTTTAACGAAATAAGTTCCTCATGTTGTAAAAATGTGGAAAATTACAAATTCACCAACCGATAATTAGCTGGTCAGGTCACTGCCTCATTTTCCTAGTGGTGATTTATTAGGCCAACTTCCCACGCTGGCCCCTCTACAGATTTTCTGTCACAGAGTGACCAAATCCCTGGCAGTCCCTGCCACCCAGCTCCCTTAAAGCACCGCTTCCACCCACTGCTTGCTCTGGTTAATCATCCAAACCCAAAGGCCCCCTATTACTGCTGCAGGCTTCCCATCATGTCTGTGCCAGAGAGAAAGAGAGAGAGAGGAAGAACAACACTACTGTCCCCTGTCCTTGGTCCAATCTGTTTCAACAAAAGCCTCGGGTATGTGGTGTGATGGACTCCTGGAGCCTCGACAGGGCGAAGCTTTACCAGGGTGGCTGCTAGGTCAGTCCTACCCTGTAGGGTAACGGCTTGTATCTGGGCTTGATGGATGATGAGAGTGAAAAAGACAAGAAGAGTGGGGGGATGGCATGAGAGAAGGACCTCATCATGCAGTGTGGCTGCAGAGGAGTCATGCCATGCCCAGTAGCTTGGTGTTCATGCCAGGATCAGAACTTGCTCTTTAAACATAAAAAGTTATTGAAATTAAAGAGTATTTTCTGTTAATCATTTCATCTCATCATTGGGATTAAACTGATGAATGAATTAATTTCATTACGTTGCATGTACATTTGCAAAGAATCTGTCAAAAAAAGATGGATTGTCTTTTTTTCCAAGTCAGGGTTCTGAAAATATAATCTAAAAACACGGCCTTGTCCCAACACTCTGTCTTTTGGTGTTGAAGTCCTGGGGTTTGCTCCAAAGAGCTCTTGTGTAAACACAGTTCAGGAAATGACCTAGCTATGAATGAACCTTTTAGGAAGGTTGTATTATTTTAAGATGGCTCCAACCAATCTGGAAGTACTTTGATACTACAAATGGGTTTATTATTCAGACATGATCAAAGATGATTTTAAAGGGCCTCCGAACATATCTGTATATCACAAAACGGAAATTCACTTGATTAGTGGAAGTTCCTGCTGCTTTCTTCAGTCCAGATGTGTTGCTTGCAGCGTTTTGGTTGTCAAATAATCATCAACTCCAGAAATAAATGAACAGATCAGTTCTGTACTCTGTGCTGCTCGGGACAAATTGACCACATGTAGAAAGAGCAGAAAAGCAGTACAGTAGGAACAGTGCCATAACTATTGTTTTCTCTGGATATTCAAATTCACTTTAACTTATCAAAAAAACATTTCAAGTGTGGTCCTAAATTAATGGCTTATTGATAAATTGCTGATATTAACTTTTGTATCAAAAACTGGAGTCACAAACATTTATTAGAATTCGGAAAATGTTTATTATAGCCTTAAGGACCAAACAACAAAGACTTGACATCGCGAATGGGTTTAACTGTCTCATCAACACAAGCTTTGCCTGAACTTTTAATTCTGAAATACTGTTCAAGCAGAAAATTAATATTTACCATCTAATTAGAATTTAACAAGAGGAAGTCGTATCTAAATGTCTTTTAATAAGACTTTCCTCTACATCTAAATGTAACATTTCAGTTTCATTCAGTGTGTTCATATAGCGCCAGTTCACCATAAATATCGCCTCAAGGCACTTTACATAAAAGATGGTCATCTTTTCTTCATCCATCATTTTTCTCTCAAGTATTTTCATTCCTGTCACATGAATGTGATTCTGCTGGACCACGCCTTCGCACCAACGTGTGCTCCTCCATCTTTGCCTCAGGTCAAGTCCCCGACTCTTGCAGGGCTGAGCGACGACTCCAGCCGCACGCTAACCTCGTGTGATTTTAATTTGCGAAGCCTGGCTCCGGACCAGAGGGTCGAGGGACTGCTGGCCTTCAGCAGCCACGAGGAGCTGGATCGCTTCAACCAGGAGGCGCGGCATGCAAAAAGACATCCCGAGGTGTTTGCGCTTTACCCGCCACCTGATGAGGTGAAGTATTCACTATTTAGCTATTTAAATATGTATAATTCACATAGTTAAATCAACCAAAGCAATTAATCAAGGTTTTATTTGTGGAGACTTGTGCAACTTTTAATATCAATGTTGAACGCTGACCTTCACTCTGAGCAGATTTGAGCTTGGTTTTTGATGTTCCACATCTGCAGAACATCAAATATTTAGGAAAATCGGCCCTTGCATTGTGCAAAAAAACATTTTTCTGAAAATATAAATTTTCTTCCAGTCTGTCCACATCTGCTTTTCATTTTTTGCTTCTTTTTGTTTTTGTTCTAGGACGATGCGGTGGAAATCCGGCCCATTCCCGACTGCCCCAAAGAACACACTGGAGAACGCATCTTGATTCGATGCCAGGCCATGAAGTATGTCATACATTTTCATTATATTGTGGGAGGGAGAATAGTTCTATCATTTCATCAGCTGCTTTCTGTTCATTGTGCACGGTGGGCAGAGAGCCAGCAGTTGCTCGTTTTAAAGTGAAAATCTTCAAGCACCCTATTATGTATGAAAATAAACTTTTCTGTTTTATGTAGCAAATAAGACACTGATGGATTTAACATGTGATTGTTACTTATGAGTCTAAGTAGATTAATAAAAAGGAATTAATTGACAGACAAAGCAATACATCAGGGTGGAGGACTGCTCTGTGGAGGGGTTCCTCCCTAAAAAGTCTGTATTCCTCTCTCTACTTGCTGAATTTTTCTGTCTTACGCACACACACACACACACACACACACAGAGAGAGAGACCACTCACATTTTTTCTGCCTTACACTTTTCATAATGCCTGTCCCTGTGCAGCCCATACAGCTGCCAAATGTCTGGGTTAATTTCTCAAATTGCAGTGGTTTGGCATCCCACTTTCTGCCCCCCCCCCTTTTTTTTTTTTTTTTTTTTTGATCCCTCAGTTCAGCATGTCATCATTTAACGTTGGGACAATTGGTTCTTTCCTGTCATGACTGCCGTTTACAGGAAGCAAATATATTTTGAGCTCAACTGTAAAAACAGAGTTCCACTCATTGGCCATACTTAATTTGCATATGTCCTCTTCTTCCTTCACTTTAAGGTTTGAAATTGACATCGAGCCCATTTTTGCCACCATGGCCTTATATGACCTGAAAGAGAAAAAAAAGGTAAGGAAACTCGTTATTTTTGCAGAATAGCTACTCTTATTAGGGAGTACTAGTCTGCCGGGTGTGTCCCAGTGTTCTCATGTCTACATATGCACAATGGTATTTCCTCACATTAATTCTAATACTAAAAATGGTAAATGGACTGAACTTATGTGGTGATAGTCATAGGCCTGTCGCGATCAACGATAAATCAATTAATCGCACGATAAATTAAACCTATCGACCTCATTTTGATTATCGTCTCTTCCTGTCTTTTTTTTCTTTCTGTTGATGACACTGAATGAAAAAAGGCTCAACTTCCTTAGTGTAATGTCCAGCGCACACGACACGAGTTGTTGGCGGACTGTTGGCCCATTTTCAAAACCTGACAGAAATCCTAGGTATAACGGTTCGATCGGGTTCGTCGTGCCATGTGGTTTCCAGCCACATGGGTACAAAGTAATGGCTACAAGTCCAGTTAACTAATTTTAAAACCAGGCATTAAACGATGCTTTACTAGAATCTACCTGTGATGCATGTGGCTAGAGTCAGCGTAAAGTCCTGACTGAATGAAAATCATTATAACCTAGTTATGTCACGTTAATGAAGAACAGCTGAAAACATACCAGGTTGCGGTAGCAATTTGGCTCCAACTCCTCTCCTGGTCATTTCTATATTCTTTGACCGAAATGTTGAATAAATATTAATGTTGTTTCCACATATCATCTCCAATGTACGCTGCAATTCAAGTTGTGCCTAGATAGTCATTCAGCTATATCCTTCAAATCTTTGTAAAGATGTAGGACTTGGGAGGAGGTCTCACTTCTCCCTCCAGTTTGACTCAGTTTGAGCTACTTTTGTATGACAGAATGGGGGAAAATAAGTTTAAGTCTCTGGAAGAGCGAAACTGATAGAGATATCCTGAATGATCCGCAGCAAAGGTGGTTCCACAAAGTATTGACTCAAGGTAGTGAATGCAAATGTGTGCCAAAAATTTCAGGGTTTTTATTTGAAAGTCTTTCTCCAAAACCATTAAACCTTCCCCCTGAACTTCACAATTATGCACTGCATTGCATTGGTCTCTCACACAAACTCCCTCTTGCACTGTAAAGTGGAAAATGCCAAACCAGAGCAGTTTATCTTGTGAGAGTTAGATTTGTTTTTTTCTTTTAGGATATTTTTCATCTTTGTTGATTTGAACTTGTGCCGTTTCCACTTTGGTCTAATAACACCGGTTTTCACACAACCTCTTTAAATTTGCGTAGGAAAATACCACAAAGCAAACCTTTTAACATCTGAAGTCAGTTTTACTGCATAAATATGTATTAAAAACAGAAGTAAACGCCAAATACCATGTATTACATGAGCATGCTTTATGCAATATTCTGTAGATGAACTAAATTAGAAAACTGAATGCTCAACACGACATATAGGAAAAAATATATAAGCTGTCGCTTAAAAAAAGAAAACCATATTGTTTGGCAATTGGCAGCCTTAAATTGCTTCCAGTGATTTGTACAGAGGCAATATAACCAAGTAAATCTTTAGCTTTAAAGTGAATGACTACTTGTAAATGAATAGCTTAAGAGACGTCTGGATTTACTTGAGTGAATATTTTTTGGGAGGGAAAAGAATGGAAAAATTATGAGCATATTGACCTCTAAAATGAGAATTTTCTATTGACCTTCTGCCGTTCTGCTCACATGGTTTTTGTGCTGCTCTGGAAGATTAACGGCATTAAGATACTCCAATGGATAGAAGAGAAGAACTGGAAATTGCCACCACAGAAGGAGATTTATTAGCATATATTTCCGGATGATACACCAAACAAAAGCTTGTTATTGCCCACCTCCTGGCAAAGATTAGTAAAAAGCCTCAGAACAAGTTGATGTTGTATTGCTGTTGTATGCAGGAACTGTATTTAGAATTGTATGTCAAAGAACATTCGGGGGGAAGAAACGAGACCCATTGCGTAATGGGTTCCACGCCGTACTTAACAGTAGCTACATACTCATCGTTCAAATTTCTAAGTATTTGTTTCTGAAAAGTTTAAACTTGGTCTCATCGAACCAAAGTGAACAATTACATTTAAAAATACAGCAGCGTTTAGCAGAGGCAGCCGGTTTATGCTTGTGGTGAAGGACAGAGCGGGCTCTTTCCTGGTAGGTCTCTCAAATAATCGGTTGGCAGGTCGACAGCTGGTATTTAGACTAGGTGGCACTCTGATTGACTTTAGGAAATGAAAGTATAAAATAAAAAGTGGAAAGAGAGGAAATTTTAGGGGTCCCAACAAATGTGGCAATACCCTCTCACCTTAAATAAATTATATTGAAAGCTGGTTTTCAAAATGATAGTTAAAAAGATACATATTTTCTTTCTAGGCTTTTTAAATTCATTTTCACCAGGGGCGCAAACAAGCCTAGAGAGCACATTAAGTTAAAAAAATGATTGCAAGTAACTTGAAGTTGCAATTCTGATAGTATATCTTTGAGGCGGTGAAACAACTTCCTGTCTGTTACTATGGGTAAAAACAGAGGCTGACTGTTGAAAAGTCATGAAGCATGTCTCCATCTGCATGTTGAGCAAACTGTCACTCTTGTTTTGTCAGAGGTGATTTACAGCTGAAACTACAAACCGATCACTTTTGACCTACTTATCTATAAAATTGTCACCTTTTTTCCTCCTCTATACATTTCTGAAGCTCTCCTCGGTATGCTTGTTTAGCCTGTTTTTCTCCTTTTTCAGTGCTGTGGTTAAAAATAGGTTGTTTGTTGCTTGTGTTGTGTTTTTTCATGCACCTCTCAGGCTGTTTTACGTTTGTGAAATCTGCAGCAGATGTTCATAAAATTCCACTTAATACTCTGGGTTATTAAAAAATGTCCTTCTTAGAGCGCAGAGGCAAGCTTTGGCCCAACGAGCGGCCTACTTAGGATTTCAAATGCGCAGATGTAAAACAAACAGAGGTTTTACATTAGGCATGCAAGCAAATGAGCTTATTTTACAGCAAGAAAGAAATTGATTGTTTACAAGTATTTCCTATTATGAATGATGACCTTTGTTGTTTTGTAATAAAGTTTATTACCAAGATACATCATTCCTTAAGAGCATTCCTCTGTAGTCAGCAGTATAAGGTCAGACTCATGCAGTTTATGCATAGAAAATTAGCAGGCATGCTAGATTTTATTTTTTTCTCCAGCAGTTTTCACAAAGATTTGTTTTGATTGAAGCGGTTGGAAGAGGAGCGTGCTACGCAGATGCTAATTCAAAAGCACCAGATGTTCTCCGTCTGACAATGCAAAGCTTGTTGGTGCAAGGCGGACGCATCACTCTGTGATCAGAAACGATGTCATGTTGAAGAGGGGTTATTGCATTCCATGCGTCTCATTTCATCACAGTTTAATAGTGATTTGTAATAACGATTCTCTCTAAATATTAACACAGTGAACACTGGGCCTTTGTTCAACATTTAGCGAGTAAGTGATGCATGTCTAACTGTAGAAGTCGGCTGGCTCATATTAGCAAAAGATGAATAGTTTTTTTTTTTTAATGTTTCAAAAGTAAAGTAAGAAAATTATAGCATGCAACTTATTCATTACCCTTAGTCTGATAACCTGAAACAAAATACAGTGCAACTAATTACCTACAGAAGTCCATCTAATTGTTGAGTTTGCATGTTTTCTATTGGTTTCTCTCCTGCCATTCACGTAATGACGACTGAAGATAGAGCAGCTCTGCGGGTAATTCTGCATATATAAATGGATGGACGTCTTGCAAGAAGGTGTATTTGCCATGAAGCAGAAAAACCCCCAAAACATTTGCCGTAAAAACAGACGACATGGTATGAGGTGTTTTGTGATAGATGAAACAGATTAGACAAAAAGGCTGCGGCAAAATACTTATCTAAGCATGCAACCCAGTCAAAGTTAATCTTGATGATTTCCAGCTACCAAACACGGCAGGTTTGGTTTGTTTGAGTGTGTGCTGCTCTGGTCAGTGCAGCAGAGGTATGTGCAGTATTATGGACAGAGGTTAAAAGCCCTGCAGTGAATAGGATCACATGACACGCTGCAGATCCGGTCAGATCAGAACATTTTCTTTCTGCCTGCAGGCTGTAATAAAAAAGGGAGAAGAGAAGTTGCTGAGTCAGCAATGCTTTTTAATCAATTTATTGAGTCTGCTGCTTGTCTAACATACTACTCTTCTCTTAAAAAAAAAAAAAAAAATCTGTTTCTTTCATTTTATCACCCAGATATCGGAGAACTTCTACTGTGATCTCAACTCAGAGCAGTTTAGAAACTTCTTGAAACCTCACACTCCACATGTGGATCACTCCACCCTGGCCAGATCTGCCATCTTCTCTGTTACTTACCCGTCCCCTGATATATACCTGGTCATCAAGGTAAGAATAAAAGAACTGATGTCCTTTAACAGTCGTGTGGAAAACGGCAGAGGTTCCTGGTTTTAAGGAAACCCTATAGTTGAAATCTAAAATATACTGCGCTCCCTGTAATTCAATGCATTGTGAACCTTTGCCAGCAAGATATAGATTTTTTTAGGGGGGGGGGCTGAAATGTTGCAAGCTTCTCTGATTACTTGTGTACATCCTGTCTGTTTCAGATTGAGAAGGTCCTCCAGCAAGGAGAGATTAGTGACTGTGCTGACCCCTATTTAACAATGCGGGAGAGTGACTCTACGAAGGTAAAGTAGCAGAGCAATCTGTTTGTTGTGTCACCAGACTCACTTCACAGAAATAAGCTGGCCTGTTTCTTTCTTCCCCTGGTAAAACCAATGATTCTTGTGGGTTTATTATTTAACTCTAAAATTAAAAGTAAATGTTTGTGGCTTTTTTTTTTTCTTTCTTTTTTCCAGAACAGAGACAAACTTGAGAAACTGAAGAGCCAGGCAGAGGCTTTCTGCCAGAGGCTGGGCCGCTATCGCATGCCTTTTGCTTGGGCGACAGTTAACATCATGGAGGTCATCTCTCAAACTGCAGCCTCGGACCGCGATGTCACAGATTCTGACAGTGTGAAAGGAGGTGTGTGCGAGTTTGTTCATAGAAGAACCTGCTTCAGACTAGAGTCGTTTCCTGCATGTGGTTTTTCCATCATATTTTGGAGATTTACCAGAAGATCCAGGTTATGTTTTATTCTAAATGAGTACAAAGTATTCTTGGGCACAACTTCTTAATGGTTCCTTCACAGTATATTCACATAAGGGACACATTTTCCAAATGTCGATTTTAAATGAGCCTGGATGTCCTGTCAGGTCCTTCCTATCGACTGTAGCAGTATATTGCTGGAAAGAAAAAAAAAAGAGAATGGACTAGTGGGAAGAAATGTCAGACCAAAAAGATATCTGAAAGTCCATCCATCCATTTTCTGTACACCACTGTCCCTTAGTGGGGTCGGGAGGGCCGCTGGTGCCCATCTGCAGCTAACGTTGCAGGCGAGAGGCGGGGTTTCTGAAAGTCATGCCTTAAAAAAAGATTTAAAAAAACAAAACTGCAAATACCAGCACAGGGACTGGTGAGATGTGAGAATTGGTGCAAAGCCATGATGGAAAGGGAATAACGGTGATCTGCAAACAAAATCAATTGTCTATAAAACTGTCTAGTTCTTTATACCCTTTTCTAAATTAGTACGTCTGGATATTCATAAGTGATATCGTGATTTCTCAACAAATCATCTCTCGCATGTCAACTTTTCAGCTAATTGTACTCACTTGTTCTCTGGGAGTATTGAAAAGTGTTTCCACAAATTTTAAAAAAAAAAAAAAAAAAAAAACATTGTTTCTTTCAAAAATCTGTCATAATACATTCATCTTACCTGAGTTAATATTTATTCAATCCTTTTTGTTTTTTCCTTCCTGAAGGTAAATCCAGCAGCATGGACCGGAAAGCGCAGCTCCCCAGGAGGAACTCCGAGCGCTTCACTAGCATGGAGGAAGCTTGTTATAACGTTCACACTTTCAAACCTGCAACCATCACCATCCCTACGATTTTCAAACAGGTTAGACAGCCGAACACAGAAATCAGACTTTTTTTTTTTTTTTTCTTCTTCTCCTTTTAAAGCTAAACTCGACAAGATAGATGTCGCAAAGACACGAGGGCGTGTACCAGCTTGCCCCTGCGGCCTATTATGAAAAGAAAAACGCACTGTAAACGTATCAAGCTCTTTTAATGTTTCTGCTTTGTAGTTGCACCTTTTGTATATTAGTTACTTTTAGACCTTTTCATTTTTGCCATTTATGTAAATTTATAAAAAAAAAAAAAACTAACATTGCGTGTGTTTATGTTTCAGGAAGGGGATCGTCTAAGTGATGAGGATTTATTGAAATTCTTAGCTGATATTAAGAAATCCTCAACTCCACAAAGAAGGATCAAGACAATACCAGGTTTTTCCTCATTGCATTTAACTACTTGATCTGTTTACTGACTCTCATGCAGCAGCTTTTATTTATTTATTTTTTTCACAGAGAGTAAAGAGGAATAATGCAGCCAACAGTTCTCCTTAACAGTTCTCCAATTTTATGCCACTCTCACTGGCATCAAACTGATTAAGAAGGTTTTTTCTAAAGTAGAGGTATTGATCTGATATCATTCATGGCCAGAAAGTGCATTTCACTGAAGGAGTGTTTTTTTTTTTTTTTCCCCCTCTCGCTCTAATCATCGAGTGTCTGTTTCTTGGCTTATGCAGTATTTAATGTGCCGTATAAGCAAACTTTAAATTATCGTGTCTTCCAGGTTGCATTAAATTGGACATGTCTCCCATCCACGACACGCCGCAGGCCTGCCTGTCCACCGAACTCATCCCGCTCATACCCGTGGCTGAGAAAAACATCCGTCCCATCAAAGAGGTGTTGGAGTTTCCCTCCAGTGAAGTTTACGTCCCTCACAACATTTACAGGTGGGTTTGGCGTCTGTCATAATTGTATACAACAGATCTTGTTGGAGGTACAACAAAATCCAAAGGCCACATCAAAGTCCTGTTTGGCTCTACTATCTGCTAAAAATAAAAGGAAAAAAAAGTGCTGTTTTGTTGACGTGTTTTGCTCTGCTGAGACAGTGAAGACTCCAATTGCATTTTAGAGAAGAGAGGCTTTTGCTCTTTCTTGATTGCCGTCTCCCAGTCCAAGGCACAATAGGTTAGGATGGTCTCTATGGAGGAATGGCAGACGGTTATCAGCAGCTTCTGGTCGATGTTTTCCTTCTTGAGCAATCTCAGGAAGTGCAAATATTGCGTTGCCTTCTTAATAACAGCCGTAGTGTTAGCAAACCACGAGAGGCCAGGAGAGATTTTCGTCAACTTACCACCAGATAGCTAAAGATATATTTGCCACAGGAGCCCCATCTAGTGATTTGTTTTGTAATTGCTTTTTTTCGCTCGCATATTTCTTTGGATTTTTTTTTTTTTCTTATGTTATAACCAGGAAGTCTCATCCTCATTTCCTCTGTTTCTCTGTAGGAACCTGCTCTTTGTCTACCCTCAGAGACTGAACTTTGTCAACAGGCTCACATCAGCAAGAAATATCGCCATCAAAATCCAATTTATGAGTGGAGAGGACCCCAGTTGTGTTCTGCCTGTGAGTGTAGCTGTTTAAGATCATTAAACACGCTGAAAGTTGACTTTGTGAAATAAATGCATTCATGTTTTATTCATTTTTATGTTCCTTTTTATCTTTAGGTTATTTATGGGAAATCCAACGGCCCCGAGTTGTTACAAGAAGTTTACACGCCTGTTACATACCATAACAAGCAAGTACACATTATTGCATATATCCCTGATTCCTTAAATGTCGGGCTTCGTTGTGATTTATAAAATATATACATGCAAGTATGAATGAATAATAAAAAAAAAAAAATTAAAACTTGAAATTTGGGCGATTTGTTACTGTAGTTCATCGGCATGTTGGTTTTGAAATATTTAATCCTTAAAGCATATTCATTTCTCAGTTTATTTTGTAACATCTTCCCCTTTTAGTAATCCCCTGCTTCTATTTTTTCGTTGTTTTACAATATTCATTATTCTATTACATTTCAAAGGACTTCAGTCTCTGTCCTCACTTCGCCCTACTTTCTTTTAATCCTTCTTATTTGATAAATCTTTTTTTATCATGCAAGTGTTTGTGGATTCCTCCTCTCTTACCCTCCAGTCTCATCTTCTTTTCTTTTGCGCTTTCTCTTGTTTTATTGTCTTTCTCAGGTCTCCAGACTTCTACGAGGAGGTGAAGCTTTCCCTTCCAGCCCGTCTGACGGAGAGGCATCACTTGCTGTTCACTTTCTACCACATCAGCTGCCAACAGAAACAGAACCAGAGCGGCAACTGCGAGACCCTCATTGGATACTCTGTGAGAGTTAGCTTTTCTCTGATAACGCTCCTCGCTTCAGTCTTGAAGTCGTCAGTCTTTGACTATGCTGATCTAATGAATCTGGTGTTTGCCCTTGGTGCAGTGGTTGCCCATCCTGAACTGCGACCGGCTGCAGACGGGGCAGTTTTGTCTGCCCATTGTTCTGGAGCGACTTCCTGTCAACTACTCCCTGCACACTCCAGAGGTACACACAGCTAAATATGTGAACTGCAAATGTAGCCATGCCACTTGAACTTTTTCACATTTTGTAAATCTTGGTGGAATTTATCATAATAAAGCTGGCAGAGATGCATCGTTTCAGGCACTAACACATTTACCTTGAAGTTAATTGATTTCCAACACACAACAGAATAAAAGAGGTTAAATATCAATTTAAAGGTGTCTCTAATTACATTTTTTTGGGTGGATATGATGCATATCTCTCTAAAAATTGCACATTAAGAATGGTTTTGCAGACTGCAATAAAAAATTGTTCTGCCGTGTTCCTTATAGAAACTTCCACCCCAGGTCCCTCCGGTCAAGTGGATGGAGAGCCACAAAGGGCTTTTCAACCTTGAGGTCCAAGCTGTGTCGTCTGTTCACCCTCAAGTAAATACAAATTTCAAAGTTTTACTTGTTTCACAGACCAGACAGATCATCTTCAATTCCAACCTGTTTTTGCTTTCTAATGCGCCTTTCTGCGTCGTTTTTCTATGGCTTCTCTGAAACAATCATCCCTTTACTGCACCAGGACAATCACTTGGAGCGTTTCTTCACCCTGTGTCATGCGCTGGAAGGTGGAACTACATTCCCCGTGCGGATCAAGGACGAGAAGATTCCCGAGAACAAACTGGAGCACGAGCTGAAGCTCAGCATCATATCTCTGCCCTCCTCTAATTTAGAGCCTCTGGTGCTCTTCCTCCACCGGGTACTGGATAAACTTTTCACCCTCATCATGCAGCCCATGGTCATAGCTGGCCAAACTGGTGAGATGTCACTTAAAACAAGATGTTTCTCATATTTTAGACAAAATTGTTTCATCTTTTTACTTGTTATTTCTGATTTTAAACTTCTAACCATATCTATGTGCGTATTTGTGCACATGTCTCCCTTTTTTTTTTTTTTTTTTAGCCAATCTGGCCCAGATAGCCTTTGAATCGGTGGTGTCTATTGTCAACAGTCTTCATAACAGCCAGGAACTATTCAGGGACCAGCTGGGAAGAAATATCCTCTTAGCAACCTACCTTTACTGGGTCTTTCGTCTTCCTGATCCCCCCCGAGACGTGCAGAATGCCGGTAATGTCCTCATCATTTCAGTCACTGAAGTGTATTTGCTGCCAAAATCTCCAGATTTGTGATTTCTATGGGGGTGTTTTGGGGGCTCTTGCCCTCAGGTCCAGCAGGTTCAGCTCCATCATCAGACAGCCGTTACATGACCATAGGTCCGTCTACGGCCGCCAGAGTCGGCAGCATGCTCCTCCAGTCCCGGATCCGCAGCAGCAGCAACCCCGACATCCCTGCTCAGCAAGCTTCAGATGAAGATGCAGAGATCAAAGACATTCTCTCTGCAAAGGTATTGATTAATTTGACCAAACCAAATGGAATTTGAAGTGTTAAGTGTTGGCTTCAGAGGCGCATCAAGCCCACACATCATTATCTGGCCATTTTCGCTTACACAGCAACACTAGTTTATCTAAACTTTTAACTCTGAAGAAAAATGATAAATAACACTCACATTGCGACATTAATATTCTTGGTAATCCCTGACGTAAAACGGCACCGGTTCAGACTGATTTAATGCGAAACAGGTGGACAAAAAAAAAAAATAAAAAATCTTATGTATGTTTTACAAAGTGTATGTAAATATCTGGTTCTATCTGTAAACGCCCCAACTTTTCCGTTTATACAGAATTTACTCTTCAGCCCCTCTGTGTGTGTTAGGTATTGTACTAGGCCACCACTTAGCCAGTCTAATGAAAACATCCATCATAGTTTGATGGAACATTTTGTCTGCAGGGCCTCAACTACCCGGGCAGCCGCGTGTCCACCTATGTGGAAACCAGCAACTACCAGAACTCTGCAGGAAGCACAAGGCCGTCCAACAGAAAGGTACCGACTGAAAAGAACAGAAAGGCTGCAAAGCATAAAATCTAGTGTGATGTACATGTTCGTTTCTTATTCGGTTGGTTTGTTGTTTGGAAAATTAGCAGAAGAGAGAATTGTTTATGGGGAAAATAGAATAAGGATAGGATACCATAAAGAGAGATCAGCTACTGGTCATCTGAGGACTCATTTCTTCTTCTTGCTGTGCGTTACTACCTTCAACAACTATGTGGTAATTAAAATATGACCTCATTCTTTGTTGGACAAGAGGACTTGCTCTTTTAGGAAATGGCAGATTTAAGTTATAATCTTTACACATACAGAGGAAAGGTGTGGGAAAAACAAATCAAACACCTGCAGTCTGGAAAATTCCCCATCCATTATCCTCTATTAGCCACAAGGTGGGAGTGTAACATTGAGGACATTGTGTTCGGTCAGAGTTCAGTCAACACTGTGGATGCACTATTTTTCACTACATTTCATTTTCTCTATTACAGCAATTTCACGAGGAGCTGGCTCTGCAGATGGTCGTCAGCACTGGCGTCTGCAGAGAAAACGCTTACAAATATGCCTGGTTCTTCTTTGAGCTGTTGGTCAGTGTCACATTTTTTTAATATTTTTTACGGCTCCGTGTTTGAGTTTAACTCGCGAGGCAAAAAGTTAAATAAACGTATGACTTTAAATATTGGTAATAAATGGGGTAAAAAAATCCAAAGGATTCAAATTAAACATTTACATCACTGTTGATACAGACAGTGGCCGTTTGGACATTTTTGCTGTACGCATGGGATTGCACAGCCTGGGAGGGGTGGGGGGGCATGGAGCAAAGGAAAAAGGAAAAGAAATATACTTTGTGTAGAATAGAGTTTTGTATTGCTAATACACATGCCCAACAAATTCTAATGGCAAAGAGAAGAAAATACTCCAGAACACCACAGGTGGCTAAGTAACATTGAAATTGGTGTAAAACATGCAGGTTAAAATTCAGAACCAAACTATTGTTTGTTTTAAGGAGTCTACAATGTTCTCTAGCTCAAAATGTTCAGACCTAAACTTATGTATTTTATTTGTAAGAAATTCTTAAAGCAAGATTTAAGATTTGTCAACCCTTTTTTGTAAAAAAAACCCCCACAAAAGATAATTTTTCAAACTTGAGCTGTATTTTCTATTGCTGGCTACACATGATATAGAAGTCAGTGTATAGGTGAAACCACAAATATACACTATAGTTTATTACATGTATTGTTAAAATATGTATATGATATTGTAGATAATATAATATAAATAGGGCAACATTTTTGCTGGATTTGCCTCTGATAACAGGAGAGTTTAAAGGCTGCTCTTTATAAAATTTTAAATTCCTCCCCCCTCCATGTTTTCCTGATGTGTGATTCCTGTTTGTTTCCTGTGTGGCTTGTGTAAACAGGTGAAAAGCATGGCTCAGCATGTGTCTCAGCTCGACAGGTACACTGTCCCCCGAAGGAGCCGCTTCTCTGACAGATTCAAAGACGACGTCACCACCATCGTCTCTGTGGTCACAGCGGAGATTTGCACAATCCTCGTCAAACAACAAAAGGTGACAAAATATGAAGACGTTTCATCAGCTGAGCCAACAACAAGCAGATTTCCCTCAACTCGAATCCCAAAGCTGTTTAATAGAGCTTCTGATCTCTTGAGCTGGGCTGTTTGAGTGTTCATCTTCTCTGTGTCCTCCAAACAACAGGGAGCTGGAAGTGCTAATTAAATTTGTCTCTGTGGTAACAAAAGCTTGGCTTGCTCAGCTAGATGCTTGTCGAGATCCGGTCAGTGCAGCTTACTGATTGCTGTTTGTTGACTGTTGTTTCAGGAGGTAGAGCAAGCAGAGAAAATCAACATCAGTCTGGCCTTCTTCCTCTACGACCTGCTGTCCCTCATGGACCGAGGGTTTGTTTTCCAGCTTGTGAGAAACTACTGCAACCAGGTGAAGTCGCACTCGGACGCAAGCGGAAGCATCGTTTTAGATTTAATATATACAATTTTGTATAAAATAACGTGCCTTGAAGATATTGATCATTTCTCTCTCTCTCTTTTTTTTTTTTTTTCACTTGTAGATGTCTGCTAAGAGCGTTTCAATGCCAACTTTGATCAGCATGCGTCTGGAGTTCCTGCGAATCCTCTGCAGCCATGAGCACTACCTCAACCTGAGCCTCTTCTTCAGCAACCCAGCTTCTGCGCCTGCCTCTCCGTGTCCGTCCATTTCTTCACAGGTGTGTCCAAGGCCATTGAATTTAGGGCCGTTTTAAAGCTAAGCACGTATCTCGGCATAACACATCGTGGCTGTAAATGCAATGTAACAAAGTTGCAGACTACTTTATCTGACTCTTTCCCTTTCATTTCATTGTTGTTTTTTTTTTTCATTCAGAGTTCTGGCTCCTACCAGGAACAGCAGAGGATCTTGGCGTTGTTTGATCTGTCTCAGGAATTCAAGCAACAGCATTACCTCACCGGTCTGCTCTTAACGGAACTTAGCGCGGCACTTGACATGGAGTCAGAAGGGTAGGGAGGAACTCTGTCAAATTGTTTCCAATTGTTTTTATGCTACTTTCAGATTTTTTTTTTAATGTTTTGTATTCTGTACCTTCATCAAATGAGGAAAGGTTTCACTTTTTGTCACAGTAAAACAAAAAACTCCTGGATTTCAAATGATTGTCCAGGACTGGGTAGTGCATTCTGACGACCAAATGAAATGTAAACCTTTTTGTCTATAGCCCAGTGTGGCAGAAAAACTAACATGGGAAACTCCTTAAAGACCAGATTCCCAGGATGAAACATGGTGGTGGCATCATTATGGTGTGGGGAATTCTTGGAGAAAAGCTACTAGATGTTGCAAAACGCTTCCAGCAGGACAGTGATCCTAAATACAAACAGAGCTACAGTTGAACGGTTTAGTTAACGCATATTGTATTAAGTGGCCCAGTCAAAGTCAAGACTTCACTTTAGTCAAGAATTTGTGGATAAACTTGAGACTGAGTGTTTACTCTTTTCTCTTCTGGCTGAGCCTGAGCTGTTTTTGCAGAAATAATTCTGAGAAAAGTTCCACTAACTAGATATGTAAATCTGGTTCAGATGCACCCCAAATTACTTTTAACCATAATTGTTGCAATGGATAATTTTACCAGAATGCTGATAACAAATGCATGCCACACTTTTCAGATTTTTGTCTGCAAAAAGTTGTAAACCACCACTATCTTTCGAAATTGTTTGTGAAGGTCTATCATAAAATATGCTTTTTGTGTTTGTGAGGAATATGAGAAAATGTGAAAAACAGTCAAGGAGTGTATTCAGTCATACTGATTGACCTTTTTTTTTTTCTTCTTTTTGCAGGGGAAAGGTTCAAAGAAAGGCGATCAATGCAATTTACAGCTTGCTGTGTTCCCATGATCTGGATGATCGTTGTGTTAAAACTGATGTCAGAGCCAAGGTGTCTGCTCTCTACCTCCCCCTGGTGGGGATTATTATAGAGTCGACCAACTACCTGGATTTCACAGGTATGTGGAAAAGTATCACATCATGAATCGATGACAGTTTTTTTCAGTATTTGGGATTTTAAAAAAAACAATAAAATACTCAAAGTGTTGGTGATGAAGATACTGTGGAATCTGCCATTAATGAGGTTTAACAAGGTGAAAGGTTAATGCCTTTAATCATCAATTAGCCACAATGAAATAACTTTATTTTTCAAAATGCCTGCGATCATCCATCTTTCTTCACACTGACATAAATGTGTTAATGCCGGACTCTATTGTCTGCCTTACGTCTACTTAAGACACGGCAGTGCTGAACTTACAGCTGTAACTCCTCTCTGCTTCACTTAAATTTGCCCGGCTCCTGTTTGTCTCATTCAGTTTGTGACACGCGCGCCGGCAAGAACAAGACCGGCGAATCCGAGGATGACCTTGAAAATGTGCCGCCTATCAATCAGTCTGTTGCCATGGCGATTGCCGGGAATCCCTTCAACACGTTGGGGCGTAACGTTCTCATCTCCATGGCATCCCTGGTAAAGTTTATGCTCCCAATTGGAATGACGATTGTAGAGTTTTAAATGGCTTTATAAACTTTTGGTGAGTGTTTTGCTTCCCAACAGGTGAGCTGGGCAGATGCTGATTGATTAGCTGTCAGAGCCACACATGCACTTCATCCATCCTGCAAAAAA